CCACCAACCTGGGCCTGAGTTAGAACCCTGGGACCCACATGGTAGAAGGAGAGAACTGACTTCTGCAAGCTGTCCTCTGACCCCCACACGCATGACAGTACATAGCATGCACACACACATGACACACATACTAAATATATCTTCTATTTTTAAAAAATGAGGCATACAAAAAATTTTAAGTAATATAAATGACAAATGAAAACAAGCACAACAGAATAGTTACAGCTGTGGTTTATAGTACCATAGCTATAGTCATGGAAACACCGCTGACTGGAGAGCAAGGGGTAAACTAAAGAATGAGTCAACAAAAGAGACCAGATTACAGAGAACCCTAGGACACAAGGGAATGTCTGGACTCCCCACTGTCAGAAAACTGTATTCCTGATTAAAGCCTTGCCTTGAGGAGCCTGAGTAAGAGGGCGGAGAAACTGGGGCTGGGATTGCCTAGGGAGGTGTGGAAATAGGGCTGGACTGAGGAGGCAGGCAAACAATTCTTAAGTTTCAGCATCCGCATGGCACTAGATTTGAACAGTCAAGACCTGAGCTAGCAGTATCTATTGTTTGCTTTCTTGTTTCTTTTCTAAAAATTAGACTGAAAGATTTATTATTGTAACTGAAGTTTACTTGCTTTGTTACTTTATAGCAAGTCAAGGGGAGGAAGGAGGCAGATATCAGATACTGGAGAGGGGCACAGCTCCTGAAATCAGTGCTAAGGCAGGAGAAAGGGTCAAAAGTTAACTCCAGATCTACAACTCAGGAACACATAAACTAAGCTTGCTCATACAGCCTAAGCTTTCCTAAGAGAAAGCAGGAAGCAGTCATGACATTACCTGAGAGAACCGTGACTAGAAATGAAAAACCAATAATTGGTGGACAGTTAGGAAGTCCAAACAACTCAGTAGGTGTTTGTTTTGTACGGAGACAGGCATAGGAAGTTTTATGACAGAGAGCAAGATCTCTTAAAGGGGATAAAAATGTTAGAATGGAAAGGGAAAGTGTAGAGCCAAGATTCTCAAAAAGTGATCAGAAGTAGGCTTCAAGATTCCAATGGCACATGGGGCCATCATCCCAGCACAACTGTGGCTAAGGCAGGAAGATCAGGGTTCAAAGCCAGCCTGGAGACTGTCTCAGAGAGAGGGGAGAGGAATGTGGAGTAACTTCATCTGAAAGATGGTAATAAAAGGAAACTCGGTCCTAATCTCCCTCCAACACGTGGCTTAGAAGGTAGGAGGAGACTAGATTCTGAGCATTAAACATTGGTGAGCTAAGGGCTGACATGGAGGTCTGCAGTACAGAGTGCTGCCCGGGGTTCAACAAAAACTAAAAGGATTTGTGAGGATAAGGCGAACAAAAGATCTGGGAAGTCTATAAACCCAAAGAGAAAAGTGGGCAGCGCAATTAACAACACATGGAACTAAAACAAGACTGGGTCCACAAAAATCAGAACCACTAACACATGAGAGGTCACATTTTGGCTACTAAATAAGACTTACATTCAGGCCTCCCCCCAAAAATGTTTTCATTAATTATGCTTATTGGCAAAAATTATAGCCAATCAAAAGAGGAACAAGAAAATAAGCATAAAGTGGTGACATTAACAGTGGTGGTGGGGAGACTACCGTGAAAATATGCTGCAAAAAGAAAATACAAATAAAAATATCGTAACTGGCCAGGCAGTGGTGGCAGACTCTGCAATCCCAGTACTTGGGAGGCAGAGGCAAGTAGATTTCTGTGAGTTCGAGGCTAGCCTCGTCTACAAAGCAAGTTCCAGGACAGCCAGAGCTGTTACACAGGGAAACCCTGTCTCAAAAGAGAGAGAGAGAAAGAGAAAAAGAGAGAGAGAGAAAGTGTTTGAATGACAATTTAGGCAATGACATCTCATCTGGAAAAGAGAAACTATTATTAGCAAATAAAAATTAGCCACTGATTTTTAATTTTTTTAAAAAAAAAGCAGTAGCTAACATTTTTAATGCTCATGTTTCAAGGGTATTCATTCATTTAATTCTCCCACTAATTGTATGGGGGCTTTTGGAAACCAAAACAAGGAGACCTGATCAAACGTTCAGAACTGCCCAGCTATAATGAATGCAGTGTAGGCAGAGTTTCGACCTGTGCAATTTGGTCCCCAAATCAATATTCTTTACTATGTTGTTGTGCCTCTCTAGGTTATATGGATAAGAATCTAGTAAAAATGGGCACAAATGTCCATCCACCTAAATATCAAGTCACTGGATAAAATGGTCCAAATGAAATCCTATAGCATTAATCTACAAATAGTTAATCTTCATAAATGCATAGGCCTTGTCCTCCGAAAGGAGAGAGATCAGAGAAGAGGCAAATTCTTGACATGGACAAAATGCATTGTGCTTGGAAAGGCTGACCTGAGGTAAGCAGTCCAGTCAGGGATTCATGAATAAAGATCCCAGCCTCCAAAAATCAACAACACCCCATGCAGAGGGATGAAAAAAGATCTCAATGAGAAAAGCTGATCAGCACCGGTCTTCATAAAGATTTCTGGACCATCATGAGCCTTTTTTTCCTAATGTATCACAAGGCAGTAGGTTTTTACAGAGCAATGAATTTCATATATGCATACATTATGGAAAAGATTGTCACTTTGAAGAAAAGGTCCTAAGCCTCATTTCATAAAGACTGCAAAAATGAAATAGCTCTATTTACTAAGCAATTACTGCACACAAGGCTTCATTCTAAGCATCTGAGAGATACTGGTTTCTTTAACCTCATAGCAGCCCTCCGAGAAAAGTCCTAGAACTCTAACCATTTGCAGGGCCAGTGGGAATGGAGTCAAGAAACTGCTCAAGTCTATGCAAGGAGTGGCAGAGCCAGGCTGCCAACCCTGATCTATCCCCACACATTGTCCTGTTTCCACTGGCAGGAACTCAAAGGCACAGCTCTCAAGCCTTCCCAAGGATTACTTTTTTTTTTTTTTGGTTTTTCGAGACAGGGTTTTTCTGCGGTTTTGGCGCCTGTCCTGGAACTAGCTCTTGTAGACCAGGCTGGTCTCGAACTCACAGAGATCCGCCTGCTGCCTCTGCCTCCCGAGTGCTGGAATTAAAGGCGTGCGCCACCACCGCCCGGCTCCCAAGGATTACTTATGAAACTCGGTAACATGGAGGACAGTTCACTCCTAACAGCTAACTACTAATTACATTCAGCACTCTGTCCCTGGTTTGCTGTCCAATCTACTTGCGGATGATTCTGGACTCTAGATCCCCAGTCTCTCCTGTGTCTCAAACCAGCACCAAAAATCTAATGGATGTTTCCATTTAAATGACTTACAAGCCCTCAAAGTCAAGATGTCCAAACCTGCATCATTTCCATCCAGTAGTCCCTCCCACTCTTGGACGCATGGACCTCAGTGACCCCTTCCATTCTCCAGCGGGCTGCCCAGTTAGAGAGCTGCACGTCCCCCTTCCTCAACTTCCATGTCCAATCCATCCCTCACCATTGCCATGACTACCCAAGAGTCCCTCTTGTGAGGGCACATGCCCTTCATCCCCCTGTCTTGATTTTATACCTTTCGAGACTATCCTTACTTGTATTTGAGGCTGTTTTCCACAATGGTGTCTATTTTCTTTCTTGAGGCTAGTCCAGTTCCACCTGCTAACTCCATTCACAGACAAGAGGCATTGCCTTTATGTCATCCCTTACCCTCAAAGGTGTGCTTGCTGTATAAGACACACACTCTAGCTCTATTTAAAAGAAATGTACAAGATGTGTCCATTAATGGTATGCCTTCAGGCCCAAGAGCAATTGGGATTGGAAATAATAATATATAATAAATAATTATTCATTCCCAACCCCGATCACAAGTGTCTGGTGGCAGTATGGGTAATACGCTGTGTTAACAATGCGCTTTATACAAGACTGACCACTTAACATTCATGGTACTCTTATAAGCTAAGCACCACTATTTACCAACTTTCAGACGGGACAACTTTCAGCAAGGTCCCGATTTAGAAAACAACGCTCAGTATTTGACTTCACCTTAGTCTTCCAGCAGCACCCACGTTCCTACGAACTTATTTCACCTCTTAAGAAAAAAATGAAAAATATGTCTTAAAACTCAAAATTAAAAGGAGACATTTTACACCTGATCTTGGCCAAAGGCGAGATGCAAAATGAGATGTTAGTTTTAAATGGAAAAAAAAAAATCCCAAAACCCTTAATACTGTGGAGGTTCAGAAGCTAAAAATGCCTTTCTCTGACATATCCAAAAATTTTCTAGAAATGTCAACAGCTAAAAAGATTCAGAACCACAGAAATAAAATACAACTGCCAAAAGAATTCACTCGAATGTTGTCTTTCTTTAAATATGTCACTGAAAAAAGGTTTTACTGAAACAAGCAAACAAAAAAAAAAACTGCCTAGCGCCTTATCCATAAGAGCATACCATAGTTAAATGCTACAAATATTCTTTAATTTGTATCTGGACCCGGAGGTAAACTACTGGGAAACCGATCCTCGGTGGGTGGCTTACTCCTAGGACTTGAACGCTAGGCCCCTGCATAAAGCACAGTGCGGGTCGGGTCATCCATCTTTCCCTGAGGCGAGAGAAAGGGCGCCCACCCAGCCCACGGGGGGAAGTGGGGTGCCCCCGTGTCCCGCAGCCCGCAACTTTGCACTTGCGGCCTTAGTGTGCGTGTGCAGGCGCGGGTGCAGAGCCGGCGGTGCGGACGGGGCACCCGGGGTGCTGTCAGCGGCGGCGGCGGGTGCGGGCGTGAGCGCCGTGGCCTCCTCGCCAGTTCCTTTTGTTGGGGCGCCGGGAGCCGGGGCGTGGGCGTGGAGCGCCGGAGCGGACTCCACTGCGGACACAAAGAACCGCCGAGCTGGCTGCCGCACGCCCTGCGGGCCTGGCGAGGCGCGGGCTGCAGGCCCCGGACTGCGCCTGGCCAGGCCGGGGGGCCGCGCCACACCCACCCTCCCCCCCCACCCTCCCCCCCACCCCCCGAGACCCGGCCCGGTTCCCCGCCGCGTACCTGCTGATCTTCTGCGCGAAGGCGCGGCGCTCCGCCATGGCTGCGGCGGCGCGGGGCTGAGCGCGGGGCTGGGCGGCCTCCTTCCTCGCGCTCCCGCTCGCACTCCCTCCGTCCCTCCCTCCCTCCCGCGCGCTCGCCCGTCGGCTCTCCGGACCCCACCGCGAGGCTGGGCCGGCCGCGGGAGCCCGGAACGAGGGTACCGTAAAGCGCCGAGGAGGCGCGCACGAGGAACCGCTCTCCGCCCCCGCCCTCTCCCCCGCCTCCGCCCCGCGCGCCAATCCCGACTGGAGGTCGGGTTGGAAGGCGGCTGGGGCTGCCCGGAGCCGACGGGACGCGGGGCGTGGAAGCCGCTGCGGAGCCCGCGCTGTCTTGCCGCCGAACACTCGCGACAGGAAAGACCCAGGATGGGGCCGCGGCCGCCGAAAGCGCGGAGCTGGGCTTTCCCCCCCCCCAAAGGGGAGGTTAGGAAGTGGAAAGGCCTCGCGGCCCGGCCGGGAATGGCTGAACTCGGTTCCGGCAGCTCCCCACTCCCGGCAGTTTAAGACCTCGTGAGTGGGGTCTAGCCGGAGAAACAATAGCTCTTCTTTGTAGTAAGAACTCTCCCGCAGAGATGGTGTGGTAATCGCTGATTTGTGGTGCACAGCCAGGAATACAGTCATGGTTTTTCTTAATCTCCACTCCAGCTCTTTGAAGTAGATTACATCCATTTTAGAGAAAAAGAAATTGTCTCAGAGACTGTGACTAGCCTTTGGGTCACACGTGGCAAACTCTTCGCCTGAATGTAAGACCCAGAGCCCAGGCCTTAGAAGTCTCTGTGAGTCCATCACAGAAACTGGCGTCTGGTTTCATGTTTGTCCACACATTCATATCCTTCAGATGAGCTGTGTTGCCCACTCTTTTGATGTTCTAAAAATAATCTCTATCACTGAAACTGACCTCGTCCATTCTATCCTGATGCACTGATTACTGAAATTGTGGTGAAACTAAGAAAAATCCTCTGGCTTCTTGTAGCAGTTTTCCTCTTAAATGTTGGAAGAATTTAGTAAGCCTTATTTGCAGTTACTGTATGTTCCCTGTGTCTTAGTGGAGCATGTTCGATCCTGTTTCCCCTCTTTCACCGTAGGGAAAACCTGCATATTGAAGCCTGGTCCCTTGTCTGGTCACACAGAACCGAAACCCCCCGCATTACTGTCGGTCCCTAACTTCCTGTTTGTGCTCTAACCTGGGTTTGTGAAGCAGTACCCACTCCAGTAACACGATGCTTTGAAAACCACTGGTGTACTGGGAGGCTGGCCTATTCGGAGCAAGTATGTATTTAACGTCTACTTAAATACAGGTGTTCTCGAATAAACACTAACGGGAGTCAGACACAGTTCAGCTTTCGGAATGTTTGAGTCCATGGAGAAAGATGGCACAGCGGCTCAAAGAATTCCAACATGGCGATTAACGCTGTGTCTGACCTTTCCATTGACAGGAACCCAGTTGCGTTCTACTTCCTGGCCGTGGGACTTTGAGCCAACTATGTAAAGACGGGGAATAATTTTACCTACTTGAAACCATGTTGTGGAGATGCGGCGAATTGACAGTCTTAAGAGTGGCATCTGGGATGTGCTGGGCACCTATGCTAGCTGGTAAGCTTTCCTCACAGGTGGTCCCATTATCCATCCTCTACTTGACTTTGTCCTGGGTGCTTCATAGCCCCTGGATGGCCTGTCTGCTCTCGTGCTCAGGGCAGATGTTGTAGGCCTTTATCTCAGCTTGACAAACATCTTTTCAACCCTCTCTTAGAGACCGAGCACATTTTGCTTTGAATAGTTCTTTGTATACATGACTCACTGGTTGCCAAAGAGTCTAAAAGGCCATTGCATGCACTGTGAAGCTGACTGGAAACAGTTGAGTGGGAATGGGGCGAGCGGAGCCAAAATGTACGCTGGAGAAACGGAGTCTCTGAGGACCACGCCACACAGGAAGTTCAACCCTGACCTCGGGAAGACCTTTCAGTCACTGAAGGAGAGTGTGGGCTGGTACCCATATGCCTCAGGGTCTAATCTAAAGATAAGATACCTGGAGTTCAGCAGTGGAAATAAAAATCGAATTGCTGTGTTCGTACTTCCCACCACCCTTTATAGGAATGCACGCGGGTGTGCACATCTCAGGCCCCTGTACCCTTTACAGGAATGCATGCATATGTGCGCATCTCAGGCCCCTGGACTTTGAGGAGGTGGTTCCCTCACCCCTATTTTTAAGGGTGAGCCAAAGACCTATCCCTGCCCAATGAACCGGCCTCAGGGTAGGCACATGAATCAAGCCAAGACCATCAGGTCCATTTAGAACTAAAGTCCTTGCTGAACCTGGGACTTCTCAAGGTTAACGTCATCCTGGGCGCAGAGCCGCACAGAATAGAGAGAAGAGGAAAACACTGGCGATGAGCTCCTTAGGGCATGACATGAGCCTCGGACTTCGCTGGGGTTTCGTTTGTTTGGTGAGGATTTCTGTTTTGTTTTAAGCTATCTTGAGTTGGACTTTTGGTCATTTCGTCTTACCTGGCACAGGCCTTCATCCAATCAGTATGCATGCCCATCCCTGGAAGTACGATGTAATTAAAACCTATTTCTGTCCTCTGAGAGTGAGGCATCTGTTTGAAGAGGTAAATACTTAAGTACTTAGGAGGAGTGTTCAGTGGTGAGGCCGGGACACTTGAGGAAGCTGCTAGCACCAGTGTGAGCATTTGGAAATCACGGTGTTGTGTCTGGACCATTCCTGGTGTTTGAGGCACTGAGAAGTGAGCAGAGTTTAGCTCCTGCTTTAGCCTTTGCAGAAAGGCTGGCTGTAGTTCTGGAAGTGTCCATAGTCTGATCACTGGCCCGGCGTCAGGACCCAAGCTCCACACCAGCAGGAAGATGCTAGCAAAACAACTCAGCATGAGCCAAGACCAGTTTCCCGGAATCAAAATTGGTAGATCTCGGGGCAAGAAAGCCTCAGGACAATCTTTCCATTAGACACGCAGGTGTTCGAGAGGCCTCCAAGCAGAAGGCCTGGGGATATTGCAAGGGAAAGAAAGAGAAGTGGGAAAGTCCCACGAATTCCACACCCTGCCTTTTAATGCAGAACCAAGAAGGTTTAGGCATAGGGCATGCTCAGGGTTCTGAGACTACAGATGCCTCGTGAGATACAGTTACAACTTTGCAGGCAGAGTGTATTCTCTTTCAGCATCGGGTAGCATAAGGTTTAGTCCTTTTTCTCAGACTTGTCTTCACCCCATCCATACAATAAGATGAACATATATCACCCATCACTGAAAGCCCCTGTCGAGGCCACATAGGTGTGGCCCAGAGGAAGGGTTGACTGGAGCAGACACTTGTATGGTACACTGCAATCCCAAAGTACAAGTAGTGCTGGGCTCTCTATGCAAGCTGAAGATGTTTTTGCCTGCCCTTGTCCTTTCTCACACTGCCTTAACACCTAACAAATATAGTTTTGCAGGGCTCAACTTCAGGCCCTTAAACTTAGCCATATTTCACCACTAGTAACACCGATGTTTGCTCTACTGTTATACTACGTTACTAGGTTATTGCCTGTTTATCTCCACACTCCAGTCTTCAACATTGTATCTGCAGCAGCTAATGTGCTAGTTGATACATTGTAATCCTCTAAGTAAATAGTTTAGTTAAAAGGAGTCATGAACATATTTTCACATACTACTTTGATTTATGTTTTTCCCTTAAAAGGAATTAGATACATATTTATTAGGGATACATTGCCCAGAAGCTAAAATAGTGTCATGGAAACAGTGGAAAGCCCTTCTGGAACAATGTTGAGCTCTTACCACCATGGACAACTGAGGCTCTAGTCTGTCTCTAATGTGCTTGAGATAGACAATACACCCCAAATTGTCTATCCAAGGCCGGATGTGATGCTAATCACTTCTTGACCTTTTGGTGAACGACTTCCCCTGGAGACATTAAGTACCCACACACCACTCTGCACAAAGCTAAGAGATGTGTGTGCCTCGGGTAGGAAGCCAGACTGCATGAAAGGTGTCTGCTTGCAGCTAAAGTCAGATGAACTGTGAGGATGGAGTGTGGGTCATCAATAGTATGCAGTACAGATGATATCCTGGAAGTGACACAGATGTCACAACAGTCCTGACACATAAAACATGTGCTACCCTGAAGGTATAGAACCTGTGGTTCTGCTCCTTTACAGAGCTGGGAAACACCTGTCGTCTGCAGGCCCAGAAAACTGCGAAGGTTTCCCTATGAGCCCAAAGGCCTGAGAAGCAGGACAGCAGCAGATTGCTTCCCATCCACAGTCCATCAGCTTGGCTGGAAACATAGAGCCGATAATTCTGCTCTACACAAAGGGAGGTAGAATTGATGCCCGTTCAAAGGCGCTTAGACAGGAGATCTCACTTATCTAGAGGGTAATCTGTCCTGTTGTTCTCCCCAGGCCTCCCACAGTAGATGAACCCCAACTACACCAATAAGACAACTACATCAGTTTTCATTAATGTATGTGTCAGATTCACCCAGAAGCACCCTCACAAAAACATCCACAAGGACATTTGGCCAATATCCGGGCAGCCTTGATCCCACTCAAGTTGGCATATAAAATTAAACATCACGTATGGAGTTTGGCAACCCAAAGAAAACAGATATAAAATAAAAGACATTTTAGACAGCAAGTTCTAATTGCTGACTAAATATTAAACAGTATTAAGAATGATTTACTGGAGATTCCTCAAAAGGAAAAAAGACAACTAAAAATAGAACTGCTGTATGACCCAGCTATAACACTCCTGATTATATAGGTAAAATATTCTAAGTCAGTATACCATAGAGATATTGGCACATCCCCATTTTAACCTAACAGCCCACTGGCCTCAGTTTATTGCATTATAACTTACCATTTCCCACAAACTTTTAAATAAACCAGTCTAAAAGTGTCCTGCTTTGGATATATCCTCCGTTTCCTGTTGCTGCCTTGATTTATATGCTGCAAAGACCTGTGAATACGCAAACAGAAGGACATCCTTTCTTCTCTGCACATTGCTTACTGAATTATCTATGACTGAGAGAAGACCTGGCATTTACTCAAAAAATAATCCTACTTGGGCTTAAATTAATAGTTACAACTAGATGACAGGAACATGGGTGTTCATTAAGTAGTTGTAAGTTGAAGAAAGACCTCCAAGTATGATGCTAGAAAGGAAAAGATACTTCATTGACTTGAGAAGAAAAACAGACGAGTGGAACCAGCCTAAGACAGATGCAGTCAACGGTCAAGGAAATAAAAGCCAGTAGAGCAAACACAAGTCAAGGATCAATTTGGAACCAGTACTTCCTCTTTTTATGAGCATAAGAACTGAGACTTGCTGGGTATTATTGGATCAGAACGGATCTGAACCAGGGTTGTTTAGCAACAGTAGGACAGAGCTGAGACAAGCAGATATGACATGAAGAAAGGACAGATCTTATGCGAAGATTTAAAGGAGGGAGAAGATGTGAAAATATCTAGGAAATACTATTGACACACTTGAGGAGACAGGTAGCTTTTATCCCGTAACTTGAGAGGGATAAAGATGGAAAATCACATAGGATGTTAGAGAGGAAGGTGTGTTTGAAGACACTTGTCACCACCACCCTCGACCCGCAAGGATGACGCGCGACACCAGAGCTCTTCTCACTGCAGTTTTATTCAGGACCTTTTTTTACAATCGAAGATATCTCTCTCTCTCTCCCCGGGTTGGGCCTGGGCTACCAACCCTGGATAGCCACGTGGGCGTCGTTCATTGGTCCACAGTACACGCTCACGCAAGCAGCTTGCGATCATCGGGTGATGATCATAAGGGT